CCTCCCGACCCAGTGGAGTGCCAGAGATGATGGGGGACACCATCAGTATTTGATTTAGTTGGTCTTTACTAGATCTGCTAAAGCAAATGCTGGATGATCCAGCCAGCATGGATTTGTAAAGAATAAATCATGTCAAACCAATCTGATAGCTTTCTTTGATAGGATAACGAGTCTTGTGGACAAGGAAGAAGCGGTGGATGTGGTATACCTAGACTTTAGTAAGGCATTTGATACGGTCTCGCATGCTATTCTTATCAATAAACTAGGCAAACACAACTTAGATGGGGCTACTATAAATTGGATGCATAACTGGCTGGATAACCATACTCAGAGAGTAGTTATTAATGGTTCACAATTCTGCTGGAAAGGTATAACTAGTGGAGCTCCGCAGCGGTCTGTTTTGGGACCAGCTCTGTTGAATATCTTCATCTAGGATTTAGATAGTGGCATAGAAAGTTCGCTTAAGTTTGCAGATGATACCAAGCTGGGAGGGGTGGTGACTGCTCTGGAGGATAATTCAAAACGATCTGGACAAATCGGAGAAACGGTCTGAGGTAAACAGGATGAAATTTAATAAAGACAAATACCAAGTGCTCCACTTAGGAAGGAACAATCAGTTTCACACATACAGAATGGGAAACGACTATCTAGGAAAGAGTACGGCAGAAAGGGATCTAGGGGTCATAGTGGACCACAAGCTGAATGAGTCAGCAGTGTGATGCTGTTGCAAAAAAAGCAAACATGATTCTGGGATGCATTAACAGGTGTGTTGTGAGCAAGACACGAGAAGTCATTCTTCCGCTCTACTCTGCACTGGTTAGGCCTCAGTTGGAGTACTGTGTCCGGTTCTGGGCACCACATTTCAAGAAAGATGTGGAGAAATTGGAGAGGGTCCAGGGAAGAGCAATGAGAATGATTAAAGGTCTAGAGAACATGACCTATGAAGGAAGGCTGAAAGAATTGAGTTTGTTTAGTTTAGAAAAGAGAAGATTGAGGGGGGACATGATAGCAGTTTTCAGATATCTAAAAGGGTGTCATAAGGAGGAGGGAGAAAACTTGTTCATCTTGGCCTCTCGGGATAGAACAAGAAGCAATGGGCTTAAACTGCAGCAAGGGAGGTTTAGGTTGGATGTTAGGAAAAAGTTCCTAACTGTCAGGGTGGTCAAATACTGGAATAAATTGCCCAGGGAGATTGTGGAATCCCCATCTCTGGAGATATTTAAGAGTAGGTTAGATAAATGTCTGTCTTGGATGGTCTAGACAGTATTTGGCCCTGCCATCAGGGCAGGGGACTGGACTCAATGACCTCTCGAGGTCCCTTCCAGTCCTAGTATTCTATGATTCTTTGATCGATCTCTAGATAAGTATAAACAAGGCTCAGTTGTAAGAGGACATCGGTTTTAAAGTTGAGCAGAAAATGGTCCCTGTTAGTATGCAGGTTAAACACAGATTGCCTGCCCATTGCACATAGTAAACTGGGTTATAATGAAACTGGGTTATAATGAAACTGGAAAAACGATAGGATGCCTCACCTGGACTGGGAATTACAAATGAGTCACAACACTTGATGACAACACAGCAAATTAGGTCTCCAGTGTGGTTACGGTAGTTCCAATATGTAGGGTATAGATCCTTAGTTGTGTTCCTTCTAACTGAATAACAATGCTTTAGCCCCAATATTAGTAGTAATTAATAATATCTAGCTCTTCTATAGCACTTTGTATTAGTAGGTTTCAAAGTGCTTTACAAATAAGGTCAGTACTTTATCCCCATTTTACAGATGAAAAAATGGAGGCACAAAGTGATGGAATTACTTGTTTATGGTCACCCAGAAGATTAGTCCTGTTCTCAATACAGAGCTCTATCCATTAGGGAACACCGCCTCCCCTTTAAACAGCTCCATTTAATTTAGCTCCCTTCTTCACTTCTCATTGAAATGATGCAATCACCAGATTCCCTGACTTTGGCCGCAGTTGTAGCTTGGGTAGTTAGGTAGCTCAGAGGGGTCCACAGGTACTGACAACCTGCTGGTATCCACACAGTTCACCTTATTTTCATTCTCTAGGAGACCATGAGAAACTCAACCCGTGTGGCTCATTTTCCTGTGCTGCACTTTAAAAAGCTGAAGATGTCTTATTGCGTGTACTTTCATGGTCCATATCTGAATGCCTCATAGGCTTGTCTGTGCCTTTCCTTGCAGTCCCTCTGTGAGGCAGGCCTGTGCGGACAGGGATGGGGAACAGAGACAGAGAGACAGGTGTCTTGCCTAGGGTCACCCAGGCTATATCTACACTGGGAAATTATTTTGAAATAACTCCCAAAATAACTCTTTTGAAATAGCACATCCACACTACAAGGCAGCATCTAAATAGCACAGAATTATATTGAAGTAGCATCCACACTGATTGGAGCCTGAATCACATTTAAAGCCCCTGGAAGCTACAGTCACTTCCTGTAGCTGCTTCCTAAGGCTAGCTAAGACTCCTGCTTAAAGGGACTCCCCCCTACTGTTTCATCTCACACTCCTCTTCTCCACGGCCTACCTCCTCGAGGGGCATCCAGCTCATGCCGCGTGCTCTGGTTGTGGATGCCACAGCACTCCAGCTCTTGGGCCCTCTGCTGTGCCCCATGGGGCAGTTTATGCACTAATAGGGCCCACATGGTACTGTAAGAGGACGACACCCATCATGGACAGGGGCACCTCCTCGCCTAGGCCCTGGCACTCCTCATGCACCAAATTCCCCTTGATCCTTCCCTGCACACTGTGGAATACCGCTTCTGGTGAAAGGAGACCAGTTCTGATGGCTGGGACCGTCCTGCAGCAATGGGATGACCAGCAGTAGTTCTAGAACTTTTGCGTGCATGGTCACATTAAAATCACTGTTTGCAGTTTGTGTTATTCCTTTCCCCCCTGGTCAGGGGCCCACGCTTTTCCCAGAGCCTGAGATCAGTCACCAAACCTGTGTCCACACATGGGCCATGCCCCTCCTAATTCACTTTCTGTGCTCTTTTAGCTCGGTCTCTGTGACTGAACCCTTCTGCTGGGTGTTGTGGGGTTTTTTATCCTTTGTTCTTTTGACAGCGGTGGCTAAGATTTTGCCAGATTCCTTTAAAAGGGACTTTAAGGACCCTTGGAGAAGACCTCACATGCTGGCGAAGGAAAAGCAGCCAAGGTAAGCGGTGTGCATTGTTGAAGGGCTCGTGGAGCATGCTGTCCCTTCTCAGCAGTGCTTGTGGCAGAAAGAATCACTCCAACTCAGCTCAGCCTGAATCTTAGGAGACCTGCAGAATACATGCCACCGTCTGGTGTGGAAAGTATAAGACAGTGACTGACCCTGAAAGCCTCCCCAGATACTCTTGGGAAATCAGAATTGTATCTGGGCTCTTCTCAGACACATTTAAAATTACACTGTTCCAGCACTGTTAAATGTGCCATAAGCACCAATCCTGTATTGTCCTCTGGGAGAGGGACTGCATGATCTAGTTAGTAGGTATCTGACTTCTGTGATTCCAGTGGGGCCATTAGCTGAGCTATGTTCGGGCTCCCACAGACATGATGGAGTTAAATGAGGGACCTTTCTTTGAGGTGCCGGGAGTGAAATAGAGCTGTGGGAATCCTCCTGCCATTAAAAGGAATGACACTCTGTGCCAAGGGGTGTCTTCAGAGGCATCGCATGCGCCCAGTTTGGAGGGGAGGGGTGTTGCGGTCTCCCTCTCGGTGCCTCAAGTGAGGCATCTAGACTCATGTTTGGGTCCAGTCCACCTCAGCATGTGTTAAAGTCCTTTCTGTTTCAATGCTTTGCTAAACTGAGGCATTGCACAGTTCAGTTAGCGGCCTGTTTCAGAGGCTCTGACCTCCCAACAGCCTCCAGTGCAGTCTGGGAGAGTGGCAAGTCCTCAGTGTTTCTGAAAACCAGGCTGCATCATCGGTAGGTAAAGATGATGGCTGTGGAAGCCTAACTTTAGGTACCCAAGTGAGAAATGTTGGTGAAAGAGGTTGCACAAATCTCCATCCCTGTTTCCACTGAGTCTGGAGCAGAACAGAAATAAAGCATAAAAGGTTAAGCACTTGGGGGAATGTTCAGTCTTGAAGAAAAACAGTGAAGGGGGGAGGAGGGGAATGATAGGTCTTCAAATATATAAAAGCTGTTTTATAAAGGGGCCAGAGCTCTTCATATCGAGGGAAGGTAGGGCAAAATAACAGGCTTAATCAACAGTAAAGGAAACTTTAGGTTAGATATTAGGGAAAAACAGAATTACTGAAGCAGGTTTCTGAAGTTTGTGGAATCCCTGTCAATGGCGATTTCTTAAAAACAGGTTAGACAAACACCTATGAGGAACAGTCTAGGTTTCCACAGAGAGGGCTATGGATTAGCTAACATCTCAAGGTCCCTTCCAGTCCTACATTTCTATGATTCTGTGCAGTAGAGCTAGGAGAGCTAATCTAACCTGTCTACTCCCTGGATCCCTGCAAACAGGTATAGCCTTCATTCTTCCCTTCTGAGCCCTTGGGAGCACCATCCATTTCATTTCCATGAAGGTGTCGGGCTACTATTGGCCCTTTATATCCTCCCTAATTGAGTCTCCCCCGCATTTCGGTGTATTACCTGATCAGAAGGGTCTGCCTCACTAGAGAGGCAGTGGAGGTCTGCAGTGATGTAATCTGATTAGTCAGGGTCAAGTCTAGTGTTTCCCATTTTCCCCTTTGCTGCATTGCCGCTCTTTAATTAACTGCCCCGGGTGTCGGGCTACTATTGGCCCTTTATATCCTCCCTAATTGAGTCTCCCCCGCATTTCGGTGTATTACCTGATCAGAAGGGTCTGCCTCACTAGAGAGGCAGTGGAGGTCTGCAGTGATGTAATCTGATTAGTCAGGGTCAAGTCTAGTGTTTCCCATTTTCCCCTTTGCTGCATTGCCGCTCTTTAATTAACTGCCCCGGGCTTTGGCATGGCATTGACTTGTAAGCTGTTGAGGCAGGTCCTCTGGCTCCCAGAGGCTTTCCTACCTGCTGCCCACACCAGCCCTGAACCTGGTAACCTCTGGATTAGCTAATGGAGCAATGATGACATTGGCAAGTAATTCTCCAGTCAATCTCCTTGGCTGGAGGCTGGATCTGGACCATGCCTGGTTGCAGTTAAGGAACATGCATGCCGTTGACTTGGCAGCACAGAGCAGGCTGCAACACTCCTCCCCACCCCTAGTTGCAAAAATAAAAAGCAGAAGAATGGCTCTTGCGCAAGAGGGAGTTTTGCGCAAAAGCCTCTTGTGCATAAAGCAAGGGGAAGGGTGCTAATTAATTATGCAAATGAGGCACAGCAATATTCCATGCTTAGCCTCATTTGCATATTTCTTGCGCAAAACAGGTGCAGTATAGACATAGCCTAAGCAAACAGAACATTTCCCCCACAAATGCAAACCTCTCTTCTTCCACTGGCCACCCCTGCCCTTCTGGGGCAGAAACCTATTGCAGAGGGGAGTGCTGGCATCCAGACTAAGTCTCCCCTCTCCCTTTCCAGCTACTGCGTCTATTTCCGCCTGAAGCAGGTGGGAGCTGCCTGCCGCCTGCACTTGTGGAGCAGCCAGCTGCAGAAAGAAAGGCAGGTCTGTGTGGAGTGCCGTCGAGATGCTGTGGGCAGCACGGAAAGATGCGAGGGGGATGGGCTAGAACATCCCAGGTGAGTGGCTGAGGAGCAATGATTAGGGCTGTTGCTCAGGCCAAGGGACTGTCAATGCCAAGGAGAGATTTTTGTCCTTATTTGGTTTCTCGCCTGCCCCATTCTCCATCCAGCTGGGAAACCCTCAAGCCTGGTGCCAGAATCCAAAACCCCATCTTCAGAGGGAGAGAGTAGATGCATCCTGCTTACTCCTGTCCCAGGTGAGTGGCTGAGGAGCAATGATTAGGGCTGTTGCTCAGGCCAAGGGACTGTCAATGCCAAGGAGAGATTTTTGTCCTTATTTGGTTTCTCGCCTGCCCCATTCTCCATCCAGCTGGGAAACCCTCAAGCCTGGTGCCAGAATCCAAAACCCCATCTTCAGAGGGAGAGAGTAGATGCATCCTGCTTACTCCTGCGCCTGCCCACTAAGATTGGCCAGCATTCAGTCTCCTTGCAGAGTAGTCTCCTTGCAGAGTAGCCACCTGCACCATCCCAGCAAATGGGGCCGGGGGGGGGGC